TCAGGTTTGCCTTCATTGTGTTTTATAGGCCTCTCCGGAGAGTAGCCTCCTCCAAGATGAGGAACTGCAACTTCCTGGTGCTCATTTTGACGGCACTGATGTCGGTCAGGTGGGTTTTTTGATACCTTGCGCTGGAGAAAAACAAATCAGATTGCCTTTTAATGGCTACCTTTTCTGTGTATTAAAATAATCTTTTTAGTCACCTTATTTCATGACTTTATAAATGCCAGAATGGCATCTAAAAAAAGCAAACACCATCAAATGGCATTTTTAAACACCAGTGCTCATTATTGCAGTCAGCAGCTAACATGCCTACAGAATTTTTAGTGCATATGAATTTCAGCTAAAATTGTGTGCAAATTTGATGTCAATTAGTCCAGTGGTTTTTAAATTGTTAATCCCACAAACGAACATTACATTTTTATTTATATAGATTATTTTCTTTGATTTTATTATATTCTATTTGTTGTATTAATTTATGATTTTATGTTGTATTCTTTTGCTTTACTGTAACTGTTGGGCTTGGCCTCATGTTAGCTGCCCCGAGTCTCCTTGGGGAGATAGAGGCGGGGTATAAAAAACGTGTTATTATTATTGTTGTTGCTGTTGTTGTTGTTATTATTATTATTTTCTTATTATTATTTGACTGTTTAATCCAGTGGTTCCCAACCTTTTTTGATCAGGGACCACTCTCCAATATTAGTACCGAAAGGGTTATAAATGAGTTTTTAGTCAACTTTAGATTCCGTTTGGCTGTTTGGGATGATGATTCAGAAAATTGCATTGGATAGACCACATCACAACATGCTAAAACAGTAGATGTGGCTCTTAAGGAAACATGCTGCATCATCTGCGCCCTACACCACTGTTTAGCCGTCGCACCACCTGACATCAGCGGGGAAGTAGCAACCAATAGTGAAAGGACCAAGGCAGTGACATCTCCAGCTCATCCCCTGTTTGGATATCAGCCAGCATGTCAACGACTTAAATCAAGAAATAGTTTTCTAAGATCTACAGAGAACACCTCAGCAAGCGAGAGTCCAAAAGTGGCAGGCTCAAACCCAGAACCTCAATCCATGGCTGATACCAAAAGAGAGACCCCCTCCCCCCGGGTACACAGAAAGCTGGGCAACTTGAAAGGCACTGAACAGGCTGTGCTCTGACACCATAAGATGCAGAGCCAGCCTTTAGAAATAGGGCTACAAAGTGGAATCCACGACATGCGAGTGTGGAGAAGAGCAAACTACAGACCACCTGCTGCAATGCAACCTGAGCCATGCCACATACACAATGGAGGACCTTCTTGCAGCAACACCAGAGGCACTCCAAGTGGCCAGCTACTGGTCAAAGGACATTTAATCAGCTACCAAGCTTGCAAACTTTGTGTTTTGTTTGTTTGTTTGTTAAAAATGCAGTGCAACTGTTTGGTCTGCTGCTGACATGATAAATAAATAATAAAATCACCTCTAGTTTCAGATACAGAACATATGCCATCCAGTAGTCGCCTGCTCGCCCACAGGAAACCATATTTAATAATCTAGAGCTGTTGTGGTCTATTTCAATACAACTTTCTGAATCAGCACCTCAAATAACCCCAGGAACAGCCTAAAACAAAGACACCAAGGCGCCCCTTCTTCCATGTGCCACTTGGAATGTCTCCACTCAGGAGGAGCAGCAGTCAGGAGGCTTGTTGTCATGTCTTTCGTGGGTAGTTGGTGTCTCCCCTCCTGACATCCCTGTTATCTCAGCACTATAAAAGGTTTTGCAAGACCAGTTGCTCTTGTTGCAATGGTGCAGTGAGGCCGTGGACTATATTTTAGTTCTTGGGGACCACTGGAGGTCCACAGACCACAGGTTGGGAACCACTGCTTTAATCCATTGAGCCTCATCCTGTCCCCAGTTCTGCTTCTTGCGTCACTATTTTTTAAGCTTGACTTACCACCATCCTATAGAAAATTCTAACGTTAGCAACGTCAACTGTGTTAAAAGAGAATTTCCTTGGTATGTTTTTCTTTTTCCTCTTTTCCAAAAGTAAATTACATTGCTGAAAGTATATTGATTATAGCTTTTCTGGATTATATTTAGAAGAAACTTTATAATCTAGGACAGGAGTCCTCAAACTAAGGCCTGCGGGCTGGATGCGGCTCTCCAAGGTCATTTACCCGGCTCTCGCTCAGGGTCAACCTAAGTCTGAAACAATTTGAAAGCACACAACAACAACAATCCTATCTCATCAACCAAAAGCAGGCCCACACTTTACATTGAAATACTAATAAGTTTATATTTGGTAAAATTGTTCTTCATTTTAATTATTGTATTGTTTTTAAGTGATTTTTGCACTACAAATAAGATATGTGCAGTGTGCATAGGATTTCGTTCATGTTTTTTTTTCAAATTATAATCCAGCCCTCCAACGGTTTGAGAGACTGTGATCTGGCCCTCTGTTTAAAAAGTTTGTGGACCCCTGATTTAGGACATCAAGTTAAAAATTATGAGCTGTTGAATAAAACAGCAGTTTTGGCAATAATTACCATAATGTTAATTTTTATTGGAGTTTGCTTTCTTTCTCATCTTAAAAATATTCCCTGTACTTTTACATAGACTATCATGTCAGAAGCAAGAAGGTTTTGGTTAGAAAAAAAGCATTTCCTTTTTATTAATAAGGGAAATGCAACCACCTAGCCCTTTCTTTCCATCTTGTATAAAAGCAGTAAAAAAGGACACAACAATAATTGCTTTTTTAAGAGAACGGAACATTATTTTCCCTTGCCCCTTTCTGTTTCTTCAGGAGTTGCTTTGATCCCGTATCTTTGGCAGTGGCAGCTCTCTCTTCGTACACAAAGCCTTTAAAACATTTTAGTTCCAGCACATGTTTGGCTTACTTTTGCACAGATGAGGGCCTGGAAGATGCGTGGGAATCCACTTTAATCTGGAAACATGTGTACATGTGTTCATTTAATAAAACAGATAAATATTTCAGACATGAAAATAAAACTCTCTTAACTGCTTTGTTGGAAGTGCAAGCATTAAAATGTCTGAAAAATATTTGGCAGGATATCCATTATTTGTCATGAAAAATATGTGAGCCAAAAGAGTCCTGTTGGCTTCCCTCACTGTTGGATGGTTTCTGCATTTAATATCCTTTAGTTTGGCTGTTAATTCTTTTCAGCATCGTATTTTGTCCTATTTTAACCTCACTAGCCGTGACCTGATTTGTCCTCTTTGGATCACAATGGCCTTGACCTTATTTGCCATTAGTAAAGGTTAAGGTTTCCCTTGAAATTAAGTCTAGTTGTGTCCAACTCTGGGGTGTGGTGCCCATCTGCATTTCTAAGCTGAAGAACTGGCATTATCTGTAGACACCTCCAAAGTCATATGGCCAGCATGACTGCATGGAGCACCATTACCTTCCTGCTGAAGTAGTACCTATTGATCTACTCACATTTGCATGTTTTCGAACTGCTAGGTTGGCAGAAGCTAGGGCTGAGAAGGGCTTTGATTCTGTCTTTCTGCTTGGTAGAAGGGGGTTGGACTAGATGGCCCTTGGAGTCCCTTCCAGCTCTGTGATTATTTCCTATTCTATAAAACTCACTCCCACTCCATACTTTTGAGCTGCTAGGTTGGCAGAAGCACATTTGCATATTTTTGAGCTGCTAGGTTGGCAGGAGCTCACCCCGTGCCCCAAATTCAAATCGCTGACCTTTTGGTCAGCAAGTTCAGTGGTTTAACCCACTGCACCACCAGTATTTGCCATTACTGCTATTCAGTTTGGTTGCATGGCAACCTATGTGGCATTGTTTATACTTGGGTCCCTTGTCCAAACCATCTCATTCAAAATCCAAAACACTTCTGGTTTTGGATAAAGAGAGACTCAATATATAATAATGCTATTTTTTTCTTGCCAGGAGCAACTTGAGAAACTGCAAGTTGCTTCTGGTGTGAGAGAATTGGCCGTTTGCAAGGACATTGCCCAGGGGATGCCTGGATGTTTTACCATCCTGTATGAGGCTTCTCTCATGTCCCTCGCATGGGAAGCTGGAGCTGACAGACGGGAGCTCACCCCCTCCCCAGATTCGAATCACTGACCTGCAGGCACAAGGGTTTAATCCATTGCTTCACTGGGGGCTCCATAATATTAATAATAATCATTCGTTTCCAGCCTCTCCCTTTGGTTTGAGGTGAGTAACAACATAACAATGTTAAAAGAGCATATAAAATGAATGCATATTATATATTTAAATATTAAATGCATTAAATGCATATCAAAAACAATAAATACAAAGATTAAATGTCATAATTTAAAAAAATTATTTGGGTAAGCCTGTCGGAAGAGACAGATTTCTTCCACTTCTTTACACTTGGGGTTCAATGTTAATAGGAACGAATGACATGGAGGGCAAGCCGCACTGATGGAGTCAGTTGCTGCCACAGCCATGGGAACAAATGCTCATTGCACAGCATTGAAAATGTGTTCTGAATGAGTGTTTCCCCTGCCCACCCCTAAGAAATTGTGGAATAAAGGGAGGCATTCAAGAAAACAGATCCACAGAGTTGTTCCAGCTCAGCCAAATGAGTTCTGGTCTGATATCTTCAGAGAAGGCTGGATTTAATAGAAATGTCAGCGAGAGCCAATGGAGGAAAAGCGCTCCAGTAACTTGACATTTAGGTAACAAACCGTACTTTTGCTGTCAGAGTAAATTACTGCTATGGTTGCTCTGTATTTCGTTGAGGAGAAATGCGTGCCAGTCTTTAGATCTGGGAAGAAGGATGTAAGAGTCTTGCTTGAACTTTAAAATTAATGAAGCATGGGAATGTTAATGTATGGAATACCATTTGTGTCTTGAACTATGCATTGTAGAAGCAGATGGGTTCCTGTAGTTCCCAATTTCTGGGATAAGAAAGCTCGTTTTAAGACTGGTCTGGTCCTGTGGGTCAGTTTTTGCGTCTGAATTGTGGAGATCTGGGTTTGAGTACTTGGATTTTAGAGGCATTTTATGGTTCTCGGCATGCTGCCCACGCTTGATCTTAGCTTCTTGGCTGTAATATGGGAATAATAATAAATATCAATGTTGTGTGGCTTGTTGTAGCCACATGAAGTAAATGGAAAAA